CTCGGAGAATCTGCCTCAGTTAGGCCTCCGCCACCGGAATAATCTGTCCTACTAACTCGAGCACCTGACGGCTGCGCGCTGTGTGTGTGCGCGTGTGTGTGTGCATACAAATGTCCTAGTGTGGACAAACTCTGAACCCTCGGTCCTGTTTGTTTGTTTAAGTTTCTCCACTCGACTTAAAGGCGCGTTGCAGTGTTTTTTCACCATTAACTAGAATCACGGTGTTTTGGGTTTAATAGATCCTTACATGTGATTCCAGGCTTTACTTCACCGCTGTTTTTAGGTTTAATAGATCCTTACATGTGATTCCTCACTAGATCCTTACATGTGATTCCTCACTAGATCCTTACATGTGATTCCTCACTAGATCCTTACATGATCCTTACATCACTAGATCCTTACATGTGATTCCTCACTAGATCCTTACATGTGATTCCTCACTAGATCCTTACATGTGATTCCTCACTAGATCCTTACATGTGATTCCTCACTAGATCCTTACATTGTGATTCCTCACACGCATATGCTCTCCTTTATTTCACTACTAATGAAAATGCAGCCAGCACCTTAAATCTGCTTCCAATGAAACTGTAGACTCCCATATCAAGTTTGAGTCCAGTGCTTCAGCTAAAGAAGCTGAATGCTCTTTTTTAAGACAGTGTTTGGTTTAAAAATGTCAGGAAAGTGTAAAAAAAAACCATAATTTAAAATCTTCTAAATCTCAAGATGTTTTCCAATCCACACAAACACCTGGTCCACCATCTCACTGTTTTTGACTTTATTTTAAAAGGCTTCTTTTATTCCATTGTGCATTTAGTCCTGTAAATTCTATTTCATGGCGTTAGGTAAAGCTCTTTTTACCACTTTCTAGTTTAACATGCATGCTGGGAGAAAAGCCGTGTGCAGGGTCAGACCACCCCACACCGAGGGTAAAAATCTAATATCAACTGCTAATAGCAAAGCCACATATGTAATCAAACTAAAACTATAATTACTAGAATTTGTCTGCCTCTTGCTGGGACATGATTCATCAGTAGCTGCTGCTGTTTACACACACGACCTGCGTTTCAAGCTCTTTTGCTGAGGATCCGCTGTTGCTCTCTTTACCTGTGGGTTCATATTCAATTTGGCTGATAAACACCTGCAGTTAAACTGCTTAAACTTCCAGCCAATCAGAATGCAGAATTCTCAGTGGCTATCAATTAAATTAGTTACCATTAATTTATTGATCAATGTGGTAAAATTACATCAAATGAAAAAAGAACATGTAAGGGCAGGTTCTCCAGACAGTTGGTGGATGACGGAGCGCCACACGGTCGTCAGCACAACGCTTTCATGTAACCTGGGACTAAAAGAAGTGAGACACTGACGAACCCGTCACCTGTCTCCACCTGCATCAGCTCACATTTTGGCATCATGGCTTCTCACCAGCACCCAAAGTCTCCTCCTCGCCAGTGGAGGGGAAACAAAATGCAGAGAGAGCGGCAGCAGCAAGATTTGCTCCCATAAACAGCTGTTTCCAGTCTGAAGAATAGAGGAACAATCTGCCCCACTGGCAGCGAGGCGGGCCGTGCAGTGCCAAGAGCTTGCCGAGCAGAACCAACAAATCCAATCAGCAGTTCAGGTCTGGTCCTGTGCTGCTCACAAATACAGGTGGTCTACGGCACCCACTGAGGGACAAACAACCAGTCCAGCTTTAAATCAGCCTTTAACGTGGCTGTAAAGCCTGATTAAAGCTCAACTAGCTCTGAATGACAGGTGCACTCTGGGTCGTACCTGCCAGACAAACTTCCCAGGAATGAATCTGACCTCTGACCTCTGACCTGAGCAGTGACTTAATGTCTCTTGTCTCCACTGACCTTAGGTAACCTCTCGGGGTCCCCGGGGTGGCGAGGGATGACCTTCTGTAGTCTCTGGAAGCCGTAGTCAATGGTTGGCTCGTTCAAGGCTGCAGGATGAACAGAGAGAGAGCGGCGGTTAGCACGACAGAGATGTCCGGGCGCCACCGGAGGTTTGATATTTTTATACTTGAGAACAATAAAAATAGAAACGTGTTTTATATTAAATCCAAGCCACATGTTAAACATGAAAACAAGCAGTGGTACAAGAATAAAGGTAAAATAATTCAAACCTGGAGAAATGATCATTTAAATTCAAAAATCTCTCAGTCAAATCATTTTGTCTGTTCTCCAGTCTGATCCTCGCAAAACAAGTGATGAAAATCTTCAGTACTGTTAAAAATCTCCACTTGTTTCCAAAAGTAATCGACTTGTCTCTGAAACCTACTAGAAATGAACTTGTGTCTCGATTCTCGATCTGTTCTCATGTCTCTAAGAAGACTAACGGCGTGTTTTAGCATTTCCTGGACTTTTAGACATAGGGAACTTGTTTTACCATCACTGACTTGATAGTGTGATATCCGACAGGTATTTAAGACTTTGTGAGCGTTTCTGTCACCAGCTGGTCTCTGAGGGGATCATTTGTCTTTATGTGCGGTGGTGCTTGCTCATACACCTGATGAAGGTCTCACACCTGCAGAAAGTCAGAGTGGGGAGCTTGTGCCACACATATCAGAACCAGGCTGAACCGTTCCTGCTGCTCTGGGTTTTAAGATTCGACTCCAGACAAAAACTAGAAGGAACAAGTTAACATGATCCTGAATTTAATCAGACCCATGCTGCATGATTGATTACCCTGTCAAGTGTGTTTATTAACCATCAATAAAACATCAGAACAACAGTTTCCAGGAGCCAAGAGTGATCTCAGCTACGTCTGGTTCTGCCCGTCGTCCAAACCCTGAGATTTTACTGTCAAGTACTGTCACATTCCAGAAGCCAGATCCATGAAGCGTTCGGCGTTTTCACCTTTAAACCGACTGAAACTATTTGTGCTCTGTCGTCACCCAGACCCCTGATGTCCGGAGCGCTGTGTCCCGCCTCCTCTGTGCGACCTCTCAGTGATCCTCAGCTTCAGCCTGCTGGTTTCTATGAACAGTGAACTAACAGGATCGTCTCTGCTGTTTATTAATGTGAGACCTCACACTCCACCTGTCCCCCTCGCTCTGCCTTTTCAACGCTAATTCAATCCAAGTGCCCTCTTCTTTTTCCCTCCACTCATTCACCTCTGCAAATAATCTGCCTCCCTCCTCCGCCTCCTTCTCTCCGTACGCGGCGAGCAGAGCTAGAGAAACACCCGGAAATGAGTTCGAGGAGATACTTCTCCATAATCAAGCCCATTAATCATAAAAGGCTGTCAAATTTGACTTTGGGGACAATTTGTCAGCCGATCTTGCCCACTCCGCTTTTGTCACCGTTGGCTCTTGTATTCTGTAAGGATGATTGACACACCAAATGCTGGTGAGTAGAATAGCTAGTTTGCGCTAATATGCATAACCGTGGCTTTCATGAATAAGAATAAGGCAGCTATACGGCAGCGCAGAGGGGTCTCCTTCAAAGGGCCTCGCTGCCATTTGTTGCCAGCACTCCAAATAGATGTTATTACCATTATAACAATATTTGTTTTCTTTTCCTGGGAATGGGCGACCGCGAGCTGCTAAATCAAATTTGTCGGAGCCCGTTTCAAGCGGCAGAAGGCGGAGGAGAAAAGGGGCTTTCAGGCTGTGACTGGGGTGGGGATGATATCTGAAGGGTGACAGAGTGCTGGGGGACGTGGCTCATGCCGCACAGGCTGCCATGTTGGATTTCTTGCCTCCCTGAGAGGAAGCAGGCAGCAGCCTGAATCTATTACCTCCGCCCGCCTTGAATGAAAGAGGGATTCATTGTTAGATCCCAATGAGGCTTTTTGGGGGGATGCAGAGCAGCAGAGGGTGAATGGAGATAATGCACCAGGACGACACAAGCAGCAATCAGCAGCGATTCCCAAACTGGATTGCCTCTCGACGCATACATACATCCCAACTTATAAAACAAGTGAAAGGCACTATGGGAACTGCTGTGATTGAATAAAAAACCCATTTACACTGAGAGGGGAGGGGAGGAGGCTGTGTGCTGGCTAACTCTGTATCCACATCACAGGAGGGAGGCTCGTGACCCACGACCTGGTGGGCCCTGAGCACATCTACTATTGCAGGGAGGGGCACGTCTATGTCGGGGCTCAGCATTACATTAGCATATACAGTGCATTAGTTAGTAGTCCCACAGGTCCACCCGCATAGACGACTATACAGGTGGCCACTCCTTGTCCTCTGTCTCCTGAGACAGTGCTCCAATAGCAGCAGGTGTAACAGACCTGTTAGTCAGAATAAGGTTACAGGTTCAATGTTGTCATGTTTACAATAATCAGTACAGAGCTAAGGTTAAAGGAAACTATGAGCTGCTTGCTCAGACCTCTGAGGTCTTCTCTCTGTTACCTAATGCTGTGTGCCATGTTCTTCATACTGTCATTCAGTTTCTCCAGGAAACCTCAGGGACAGACACTGTTTACATCGACTGTACAAATCACACAACCTGGTGGCCTCTTTAACCCTTCTCATGCATCCTTCCATCCTCCCAGGAGGTGGGAGCCTACGGTGAGAGAGGCAGGTCTCCTATATTAAGACCACTGAGGTGCCCCTGAGCTAAGCTTCATCTCCCAGCTGCTCCAGTGACCAAGTGGGAAGCTTCAGGTGCTTTAGAGAAACACCTCACATCGAATGGAAATATTCTCATTGTTTTGTTCGTTATTTCTCCCAGATTAAGCTTTGCACAGTGTTTACTTAGGTTCATGGTAATTCCTGTCTCCATCCTGCTGGGATTCATCTGGTAAATGGACCTACAGCACTTTTCTACACACACTGCAAACTGTGCGTCACACTAGGCTACAGTTTCCTGTTCACACTTACACTGGGACAAACACCAGGGGCAACTCGTGGACTGGAGAAGCCAGAAATCGAACCACCGACCCTGTGTTTAGGGGACAACCCGCTCTACCTCCTGAGCCACAGCCGCACCTAACCTTCTGTCCCAGTGGACACACCAGTCCAAGATACAGTATATTTTATATATGCATTTATATACATACATGTCCTGCCTTTGTATTTCTGAGCTCGGCAGCTTCTAAAGGGGCGTTCTGTGGTTTGTGTTCTCTTCCATCCTGCCGGGAGCTGAACCAGCCGCCGCCCATTCACACAAATTTATTTTTAGATCATTTGCTCCACATCTCCCTGTGTTCAGCCTTGTATTCTGGGAACGCTGGTCATCTCTAACGTGACATGTTCCTGCCTCCTGCTGGGGTTGGTACCGACAACCTGCTGAATGACAAAGCCATGTCTCCTCAGAGTCCTCCTCCACCAACAGAGGAGATCACAGA